CCCCCCCCCCCCCTCCCCCCCCCCCCCGATGGAGATCTGAACCGTTTGCTGGTGCCATCATCAAACCTTGACTATCCCTTTATGAGAATATGCAAGAGCTTGGCATGTGTAGCACTTGCTTTACATTATGGGTATATCTCTTGAGGTCCCAGAAGTGCGAGCCCTGGAATCTTACAAAAAAGTTCCACCAAACTAACTTTAATGCAGCTGAAAGAGGAAATTTGTAGCATATTTAATTAATGCTGTTTTATTTTTTTTTCATCCTAGTGGTTTTTTTAAAATTTAAATTATAGGAGGACCACCATTTATTTACTTACTTAACATATTTGTTAACCACCCCAATCTTGTGGTTCTGGGCAACGTAGAATGGAATGAAAACAAAAGACGTATAAAAAAAAACATAATAATCAATTAAAGATACAATAAAAATATCTGCATATGGAGAAACCCTCATGCATCCATCAGTGGAGTCAAAAACTTGTTGGAAACAGGATGGTTTTCACAGCCTTCCTGATTGTAAGAGGAAAGGTCGCCCTCTGGGGGAGATGGGCAGCATATGAATTTAATAAATAAATAAAATAAAAGGTACTTTCTGAGCCCCCAGAGGTGGCATATTCCGTAACATGGGGCCACCTTGTCCAACTCCCACAAGTCTTTGAGGGAGAAGGGTCTTTCAGCAGGCCTTCTCAAAATGTCTGAACCAGACCAATGTACTGGGGTAGGTAGTATGGTCCCTGAGGCATCACTCAGGGACCAACTGCAGCCCTCAGCTCAGAAGGGGTTATATGGCCCTTTTTACATGCACAATTCCATTCCTAGGATCTCTAATTTAAAAGTATTGGGATAACAATAAATCAGGGAATCTCTGCCTTAGATCTGGATTGATGGTGGCAGTCAGTCAGATAAAATGCCATGGGCACGGGAGATCAGGGGGTGTCATATAAGAAAGCTTCATGTGTATTCATATTCCTTTGCAGTCTCTTTTCATGCACTCTTTATCAGTGCTTCATACACTAATGGACTTGACAGTCTAGGAAAATTATTGAAATTCTGTTGTAAATCACATGTCTATTTTACCCATGCATTTCTTTAACCCCATTTTTTGTCACCTGCAATAGTTGCTCTCATTTCCATATTTTTAAAATGTGTATTTCCATATTTTGGCAGTCCCATGCAAGCCCCCTTTGCTATTCAATCAGATAGACCAGTGTCTTTCAACCTCAGCAACTTTAAGGTAAGTGGACTTCCAACTCCCAGAATTCCCCAGCCAGCATGCCAGAATGCTGGGAGTTGAAGTCCACACTTCTTAAAGCTGCTGGCGTTGAGAAACACTGAGATAGATGACAAAGCTCACTTTTGTTGCTAAGCTCAGAAGGGATTGTAAGTTTCACTCTTCCAAACCATCCGATTACTCTCTGTGGGTTTGATACATCCCTTTTTAACATACTGAAGTATTATGCTGCATTAAGGAACAGAACATGTTTTTAGTGAAAACAACTCTGAAAATATGCAAATAAAATTCCTATAAACAATAATAATAAATAGCAGTAAATATTGCTTATATGGTGCTTCACAAACATCTTGATAGCACAACCTTTAAATATGGTATTATATTACAGCTGAGGGAACAGACTAGAAAGGATAGCTTAATTAATATTACCATGTAAGTTAATGACTAGAGAGTAAAGGTAGTCCTCATTTACCAGCTGCCTTGTTTAGCGACTGTTCAAAGTTACGATGGTATAAAAAAATAGCTTTGTGACCAATCCTGGCATTTACAACCATCACAGCATCCTGCAGACACCTGATCGTAATTTGGGTGCTTCTCAACTGGCTTACGACAAGCAGAGTTAATAGAGAAGGTGGAAGTAAGATCATAAGTCATGGTCATGTGATGTTTTGCTTAATGACTGCGATGATTCAACAACCAAAGCAGAAATAAGGTCATAAGACTGTCATGGTCATGTGATTTTCCACAGTGAACCCAGTGCTTAGCGATGGAGTTGCCAGTCCCAATTGTGGTTGCTAAGTGAGGACTATCTGTATGGACTTGCCAGCTTGTAGTTCAGATTTTTAGGCCTCCGCTTACAAACGTGTCCAACCAGGCCTGTATTCATTTTTATAGGATCTGGGAAGACCTTTGTGTCTATTATGATATGTGAGCATCATCTCTGCAACAGGCCTGCTGGGCAGGAAGGAAAAGTGGTCTTCCTTACTCCAAAAGTCCCAGTCTATGAACAACAGAAGAAAGTCTTCCATGAATACTTCAAAAACAAGTATGGTCTCAGTCTGTCTGGTGCAGGTGTCCCGTTGCTTCCTGGATCCCAAATAATAGCAACACTGTCCCTTTTAGCCATTGATTTAGTTAATTGTTCTACAGAAAATTGGTCTGCAGTATCTCAAGGCTGCAATTTGGTACCCTTTACAAAAAATAATTGAAATCAGTGCCTGGAACCCCAGTTTGCCTTCTATCTATCTATCTATCTATCTATCTATCTATCTATCTATCTATCTATCTATCTATCTATCAAATTTGTCACCACCCATCTCATTAAAAAAACGACTCTGGACGGTTTATAGAGAAGATAAAATCAATTAAAATACAATGTAAAATAGTCCTGAATAAATAATAAACAAATATAGTACAAGAATTGATGTTAATTGGCACGTAGCTTGGGGAACGTCATCACCAGGATTGATGAAGACTCTTGTTGCCCCACGCAAGCTGGCAGAGCCAGGTCTTTAGTCCTTTTTGGAAAGGAAATGTACAAAGTACAAGGATGTGCATGTGATGAGCATCTACTTGTGATTTTTTTTAAAAAAAATTATGCTGTCAGATATGACCAGTTCATGAGTATCTATGTGTGTTACTAAGAATAGGCAGATGGATGACCTCTGTGTATATAATTTTTTCCCCTAATTTTGCAGTTTTAGATTGGCTGAATGTTTAAACAGGATTTACGATGTTCTGAAAAGCGTCTGCCTCTTTTCTTGCAGCTACAGCGTTGCAGGCGTCTGTGGGGAAAATGCTTCCTTGTTCCCTGCAGACATGGTTATTAAAGGGAACGATATTATTGTCATGACCCCCCAGAATCTTTTGAACTCTCTGAATAATGAGACACTTCCTTCTCTTTCAATATTCACACTGATGATATTTGATGAGTGCCACAACACTACGGGGAATAACCCATACAATATGTTAATGTTCAAGTACTTGGACCTTAAACTGGAACAAAGTGGAATTCCACTACCTCAGGTAAGACAAAACAGGGGTTTTCTCATACTGGTAGAAAAAAGATGTCATTATTATGAGTTGTGTTTCCTCTTCTAATACATGAAGACAATATGGAAAATGGCAAACCTCTCAAGAAGATAGCTTGCACATCTATACTCCAGAAGCCAGTTAGTCTGAGAATATTGTAGCAGGGATCCACAAATTTGTCACTCTCACTTTGTCTCCCACTCTTTTCTTAAATAACATACAGTGGTACCTCGGGTCACGAACGCTTCTGTTCACGACCAATTCGGGTCACAAACAGCACTGCTTGCAAAATTTTGCTTCTGTCTGCGAACTCCGCATCGGGTGACGAACAGGATCCGTGGCCATTTTCCCTCCCATGACACATGGTCACGGCTTCCTGTAAGGAGGGGGACTCTCCCTCCAAACAATAACCGCCTCCCCACCTGCCTTCCTGTCCTCCACGCCAGAAGTCGCCTCGAGCAAGGTTAGCGTTCTCTCTCTTCGATCTGCGCTGTACTGTATTTTGTTTCATATTTTTGCGGTTTTAAAAAAAAATACATATGGTTCAGAACGGATTAACTGTATTTACATTGAAC